GTGATGTAAAGTGTTATTCTGCATGCTTTGCACATTTCTTCATTTAATCATCACAAAGCCTAATGAGAAGAGAGAAGGTCAGTAGCCTGCCCAAAGCTACACAGCTAAGTGATAGAGCTGGGATTTGAACACAGGCAGGTGGTCCAGGCTCCTCAGTCCAGGCTCCTCATTCCACGCTGTTGTCTCTTCTGCCATTATTTCTATGGCAGCTGTGTGAGAAAATTAACAAAGGGATGTTGTGATTAGAATTCTTTTTTCTTCCAAGCCCCTAGGTATGGATGTGACCTGCTGTGTAACTCTTATTCTTTACTCATCAGGGAAGATAAGTGTAGAATGATTTTCCTGGGGAAAATCATTACATTCTTTATGAAACTCTAACTTGGGAAATGGTCTTTTAAGAAGAAACAGGGATCTCTTTGGAGAGCAAGTCCCTTTCCTCAGTTTTCCCCTTACTCTGCTTCTATTCTTTTCTTTGTTGGCTTCTACCCTTAGAATTCTTCTTCCTGCTTCATCCTACAGCACTGAAGTGTTGATGCTTCTGCAGGCAGGGATGCATCTCAGTTTCCTCCTTCACCTAGGGTCAGATGCCAAATAGAGGCCCACAGGTTCTACAAAGCAGATTTATTTAGGGACTTCAGACTTTAAACCCTGGTTTATCTTTGCTACTGGATTTGTTGTGATGGATTGCAAAAAATGTGTTTTTATCAGCACAGCCCTGGGGTCACACAGAGTCAAAAGACTTCCTTTTTAAGGAAAAGTCCCAGTCAGCTCACTTATCTTGTTTTCCATCTTTCCTTTTGGGTGATTTGTATTTTAATTTTCTTTCACTCTGAGCAAAGACAGAACCGAGCAGAAAGTGTTGGGAAATGACTGGGGGACTTTACTGCTTCCTGGTCCTGACACAAGGAGACAAGTACCAGAACTAGTGAGGCGTCTAAGCATATTCATCTTCTGATGTTTATGTTTGAGCATCCAAAGAGCACAGGTAGAAAAAAACTTTTTCCCAAGGATTTTATATTACCAAGAAGACTCTAAAAGCTGAAGCCCAGTTTTAAATACTTCTCATAATGGAGCTCAGTGCCTGAGAACCAGATTTAGTGTGGACTAAGACACAGTGTCTTCTGCTTAAAATATGGATAGCAGTGGTACCTACCTTGGTAGGGTCATTGTGAGGTTAAAGGAGAAAATGTAGTCTAGTGCTAAGTACTTAGTACATAGATACTTAATACATAACCATTGCTGTGTCAGTGCCTACCCTGCTCATCACAACATTATCTCCTGAGGAATCAGGAGAGCATTTTTAAAGGCTTTTTGACTTTTGCATGTATATATTTATAAACAGTTCAATTTAGTACCTGAAAATACAAAAGCTTGTTTAAGTACTCTGACCTTTAAGGTAGGAAGATACAGGGACTCCTTCACCTTTACCCGCTTTAGTCTTAGTGTTTTCTCTTTCTTCCTACTGCCTGGAGGAAGTTTGTGTCCAGGGATCTCTGAGCTGAATTTCTGCCCATGTCTCAGAATGTAAGCCGTTCAGTGTATATTATTCTTCTCACTTTGCGATGATATATTTGCCCATTTTATTCACAATGAAGGGATAAAAGAAATGGAGAAGGTAAGCTTTCCAGACAATTTTGTTTGTATATGTGTGTGTGTGTAAATTTGTTCTTGTTCAACTAGATACATTTAGTCTTTTTGTTTTATACCACGGTTTCTAGCTGGAGTAGGGCTTGTGTCCATGGCATGGTGGCTCCTGTAGCTCTCAATAAATGACCTGAATCTCACTCTTAGTGCCCATATAGACAAACAAGTAATAAACTGAATTTAATGTGATACTCAACAGTATTGTTTATAATAAATTTAACTTTTGAAATCAAATATTTAAAATGTCACAGAACAAAGAATAATGGTATTACAAATGTCATTATAAAGGAAACCCAGGGAGGATATTTTCAAGATATTTTTGAATTGTACTGAAATCTTTCCTTATTTTATAAATATTTTATATATTAGATTGGTAAATTGGAACATTTACTCATATTGGTTGGTAAGCCTGATTTAAAGGAAATAATAATTTTAAATGGCTATTTCAGATTTTAAATTTATAAAAATTATTCAGGAAACATAGTTTTCCACTTTCTAATAGGCAGAAGCAGTTTTCATTAGACTTTTCCATTTTAGAGCTAAAAAGTGCTATTATTCACAAAATTAGGCTTAGTCTGTGCCAGATTAATTTGTAATGTAAATACAATTTAAGGAACAAGATGCTGATTTTCCTCTATGGCATCATAACAATAATGTATTTCAAGGATAGAAATAACTTGAAATCTACTGCAGGTTCAAAATTCCTTATTTGCAATCCTAAAAGCTCTGAAAATTGAAAGTTATTATCATGACTCATTTGGCAGGATATTCTGCCCTGAACTGACATAAAGCTATTCATAGCTTTTATTTATCCCAATCAATGTAAATGTACATGTTTTGCTCCAGAAATATTATGGTGTCGGATTAAGAGTTTCTGCCTAGATACTGCTGGGGGTGTTATGTTCCATATGGTATATGCACCATATTATCTTTCTAGAATCCAAACACTTTCACATTCTGAAACATTCCTGGCCCAAAGATTTTGAATAAAAGATGACAACTTGTTCCAGTCCAGATAGCCAGATAGCCACTGTAGCCAGAGGATTCTCACTTCCTGGTTTTTCTAAGGACAGACAGCTCCTCTTTGTATCTGTTTCCAGGATAGCCATTAATAAGGGTCCATCCACACTCAAAATTGTCCATTTTGGCCAATGAATTATATGATCACCATATTCACCACGCATGAAATCTTGGTAATGGGCGCTGTGGTCTTGGTAAATATCTGTATGTTTCTAGTGAATTCCTATTACAAAACTTTAAATAAACAATATTCCAGATTATACTTTGCAAATATAAAATAATTTGAAGCATTGTTTATAAGGAATAATTTAAAAAATATACCCTACTGCCTTCCTAGGCAGAATTCCCCACAGCATATATTTCTTTTATGGCAGTTGATCGTTTTCTTCATTGCAACTGATAGTATGTGAGCCTAACTGGGCTACAAGCCCTCTTTCTGTTTCCATTGCTTGTCCTGATGCCTGATGTATATAGAGTCACCTAGTTACCCCACTTACCCATGGAGTATACTTTCCAAGACTCCTAGTGGATACCCGAAACCACAGTGGATACTACTGAGCTCTCTGTGTACTGTTTTCTGATACATGCATATATATGATAAATTTTACTTATGAATTGGCGCAGTAAGAGATTAACAATAAGAATAATAAAATAAGACAGTTATAACAATATACTGTAATGAGAATTACTGAAAACCTATAAATTGTTTATTTCTGCACATTCCATTTAACATTTTCCTATCTTGGTTGATGTTGAATGACTTAACCATGGAAAGTGAAATGGCAGGTGGGGAGGAGGGAGTTTGTAGTGAGTTACTGTTTATTTAAAATATTTATTGAGAATTGACCTTTGACATACTTTAGAACCTAGGGTCAGAGTGTAGAACAAAACAGAGTTGATTTGGTCCTCATGGAGATTCTTGTTTAGTGGAGCAGACAGATTTGGGGACCTGGCTTGGCTTCTCTGCTGAGGAAGAGATTTTGAAGCTTCATCTGAAAAATGAGTAGAAATTAGTTAGCCAGAGAGATAGAACTCTTTTAAGGTTGAGGGACAACAGGGCTGAGGCCTTGGGGTAGCCCCTGATGGAGTTTAGGGGTCAGGCAGCAGAGCATGAAGAAGAGGAGCCTGTTCATGTGACATCACAGGGCCTCAGCAATAAATAACAAGGTCTTATTTATGCTTTAAGGAGCGTGTTCTGGCTGCAGGGCTAGCACTTGATTAGGCCTGGGGTGGCAGAGGGCAGTCAGAATGGCTGCTTGGTACAGTGTTTGTAGAAGGGAGCAATTGTTCTTGACCATTGGTTTCACTTTCCATTCGTACAGTGTCTTAGCTGTTCTCTGGGACAATAGTTATATGTGCTCTGCTTGGTACCATTGGGCCAAAGCAATGACTGCAATTTTCAGCTAGGCTAAAGCAAGTAGAACTGAAGGTTTATTCAGGCTTTCACAACTGAGAAGTTGTAAGTGAGAAACAAAAAGCAAAACCCTTACTCATGGTGCATCTTTCTTGAGCCAAGTGCCTGAAAGGTTTAAAAACTGTTACCATGTAGAAAGTGAAACTATGCTGAGAATGCCAGTTTGGGGGCCTCCAATGAAAACTTGGAGCTGTTTGGAAATGTCCTGCCAAGAGCTCAATCTTATGGGGGCCTCTGAAGGGTAAGTATCTTAAAATATACAACCAGTGGGAGCCCAGGGCTGGGTATTCTCTTGTTTTCCTTTGCTGACACCTCAACCTAGGAGGTGAGGCAGTGCTGCTGGGGAACCAGCTTTGTGTTTTGAATTTTAAATGACCTCACTTAAATATTCACACAGAAGTTTGACTGGAGGTAAGTAAGTCTTTAATGCCTAAATTTGAGTATGCAGGCCAGCTCTGGTGGTCTCATTTTTAGTTTTCTGCACAACCTGACAATTTACCTGAATTGCGGACCATCACTGCCTGTCTTGCCCAGGAAGCCAAGCCAGGAGACACCTTGTTCAGACCATTGTTATTTGACTGAATCACTGCTTATGGATGGATGGATAAGTGATTGATGTATGTACTTAATGGGATCCTGATGCCTGGATTTAGGAATAAACTGCCAGCAGTTTAAGGACAACGAAGGGACTTTTTTCAAGTTGGTTGTATTTGTAGAAATGCTGTGGTCCCCCCATCGGAAATCACTCACATACTTTTCTGTTGTCTTCCTTGCCAAGTCTTTTTCTTTGGAACTAATGTCAGACTTTCACTAAAGGTGCAAGAATAGTACAAAGAATTTCTTTTTCCTGAACCTTTGGGAAGTAACTTGGCCACGGTGATGTCCTATCTCTCCTGAATATTTGAGTGTGTCTTTCTTACAGCGGGGACTGTCTCCAACACAACCACTACAGGACAGTCAGAATCAGAGAACACTGCCAACTGATACTACTAATCCACAGACCCCATTGGAGTTTCGCAGGTACCTCAATAGTGTCCCTAGTGGCAAGAGTCTGATCCGTGGCCAACCATTGCACTTGTCTGTCCTGGCTCTTTAATCTTTCCTCAGCGTTCTTGAACTTAATGTTTTTGACAATTGCAGGCCCAGTTACTTTATGAAGTATATCAATTTGGTCTTGTTGGTTGTTTCCTTATGAGAGTCAGGTCATGCATTTTTTTTTTTTTACAAGAATATCACAGGTTGTTACATTCTCATAAGTTGTGTATGACTTTGATTTATTCCTTTATTGGTGATGTTCATTTGATAATTTGATTAAGGAGGTATCTGTCAGATGTCTCCAAAGTTATTCTTTCTCCCTTTGGAATAAAAATGTTTTGTGGGAGGTACTTTGAGACTACATAAGTATCTATTGTAGTTATGTAATTTCTCATCAGCATTTCACATACTCTTTGGCATCTATTGATATTTATTGACCAAATAATTGCTGTTTTGAGAGCTACTACAGGTCCATCTTCTAATTCCAATTCCCTAATTTTTCATATTTATTAATTGGCATTTTACCTTATGGGAAGACTTTCTCTTTCTGCTTCCCTATTCGTAGATTCCCATATTTTAACCTTTTTTCTTTCAGTGATGGGAATTGAACTGATGGCCTTCACACTAAGCTCCATTCCTAGCCCTTTTTTATTTTGAGAATGGATCTCCTCTAAGTCACGCAGTTATCCACTCTGGGTTCAAGCTTGAGATATCTCCTGCTTTGGCCTCCCAGAAGCTGGGATCACAGGCTGTGATCCCACCCAGCTCATTATCTATTTTGATGTTCAAATTCTGTTTCACCACCCCTTCAAATTAGGGGTGTCCTTTTGATATGTTCCCCAAATCTTTGAGGACTGCCTTGCTTTATGGCCCCAAATTAGTAGGTAACCATTCTGTTTCAGGCTAGTCTTTGACTTTCCCTGTCCCAGCCTTGAATTTGGCCATAAGACTCTGGTTCCTTTCAGTGGAGAATTTACAGTAGAAACTGTGATTTGTGCTTGATGCTATTGGTGTGTGAGTGGGCAGGGTTTGAGAATATTATTCATGTATATACTTGCACATACTTTTCATATCTGTATTTGTTTGTTTTTATTGAGATAAATGAAAAACTGTTGAGTCCAGACCTATTCCTTGAACTGTAATCCAGCACCTTGGATTATGCTAGTTTTCTTTCTCTGTGCCTTTGAATTTTTTCCCCAACAGTGAGAAGCCTGGCACCCACTGTGTAATTATTCAGTTGCCTCCCTGTGTCTAATCTCGTGCTCCCCTGACTGCCCACATCAGTGAGGGTGCCCTTCTCACCCCCTCACTTTGGTGTATTTCAAACTGATTATCCTGAGAAACTATAACAGAGAAGTAGATTGGGAAAGTTGTGCTCTTGTTTAAAAAATGATATCTATAAAGGAAATTGGCTGAATGTAGTGGTACACACCTGTAATCCCACTATTTGGGAGGCTGAGGCAGGAGGATCATTGTAGGTTTGAGGTCAGCCACGACTACATAGTGTGTTCAAGGCCAGCCTGAACTCCATAGCGAGACTGTCTCAAAAAATTTTTTTACAAAGCAAAGAAGGAAATCTATACTAGTAAGAATATTTATATCCGGATGAAGACTGCTCCAACTTTTATTACCTGAGAGAATTTATCTGCGTAAGAAAACAACTTTTAGGTCCCATACAGTCCTCTCCCCCATAACTTGTGTGGCCACTACCCCCCAGAAGCCCCAAAACTCTGTTCCTTTCTGTGGCACAGAATGCTGTGTAAACTTCTATCATCCAACTAGTCTCATGTTCTGTGGGACTCCCTTGCATATGCAGATACTTTAAATATGGTTTCTCTCCCATTAATCTGTGGTATGTCCCCTTAAATCATAGCCTATTCCAAGAACCTAGGAAGGTAGAAGGGAACCATTTTGCCCTTCTCTGAGACCCACTGTGATCCAGTATGACCTCATTTGAACTTGTTGACATCATAGAAAGCTTATTTCCAGGTAAGGTCATCATATTCACAGGCTCAGGGTGAATATAAATGTTGCTAGGAACACTGTTTAACCCAGTGCATCTGCTCTGCCTAATGGGCTTTTGGACTAAATCACTCATAATGGAAGTGAGGGAGGAAGAAGATATGGTAGAGGGATGCTCCCTCAGTTGCTTTGAGAAGAATGTTCTTATTTTCAGATTGTTCTTATTTTGGTATCTAAAATTAGAGTAGGTAGACAAATTCAAGGCCTGCCTGGGCAGTTTAGTGAGACCCTGTCTCAAAATAAAGAAATAAAAGGGCTGGGGATGTAGCTCAGTGACAGAGCAACCCTGGGTTTGATCCCCAGTCCTGGAAAAAATATTAGGGTCCTCTGCTGACATGTGGACCATCTTGGAAAACTTGGGACTAAGAGTGAAACTGTACTGCACAGAACCCATATGCTGTAAAGCTTTGTAGCCCCTGATCGGCTGTTCTGGAAATGGCTTCACCTTCTCTGCATGCCTCATTAGGATTGGGGTGTGTCCCTCCATCCCCAGCTGCCCAGTTCTAGGCCAACACATGTCCTGGGTTCTATAAGTGTCATTTGCTTGGAGCCCTTTTGGATAGGCAAGCTGTCACCGGCCTTGTTGGAGAAGGAGCCACTGTGTGTGGGGAAGCCACTGTAGCATGACAGCCCTGGTAGTTTCGGCATGGCCCTTTATTGCCCTGATGGTTGATAACTTATCCTTTCCTCTGCTTTCTTTTGCCATTTTTGTCTTCTGAGCATTCCCATACAATTTAAATATTCTTCTACAATCCCCAGAGTCCATCGTTTAACTACTATTTTTTGTTTAAACGTCTGCCTGGGTGTTTGGGTCAATTTAGGTTTTTGCTGTTATAAACAATGCTCTTTAAACACCTTTGGCCATAAATTTTGTGTTTGCACAAATTATTATTAACTTGCAATTATTGATCAGATACCAGACTTTACACATCTTATTTAATCCTTACCACAAATTTTGAGTAAGCTGTCTCCATTTTACAGGGGAGAAAACCAAGGCATAAAGATTTGGGTTCTGCTACCCTCTACATTTGTTCTTAAAGCAGGGCCCTGGGAAAAGGTTATAGTTGCCCAGTGGAGTATCTGCCACCCCCTCCACTCCTAAACCTGAACAGCTTTTCTATATTTGTGGGGAGGGTAGAGGAAACTAGGGGATTTCTTAAGGGGATGAGAGGTTGATTCCTCTTTTATGGTTACAAGTCCCTGATCTTTGTCTCATATAAGATTCAGGGATAAAGATGTAGCATAGCCACAGGTTTACTCCTTGCCTGCTTGTGTTGGACATAGGAGTACAAGAGCTCTTCCCTGGTCACTGCCCTGCTCATGCATGGGTAGCTGTGCTGTCCTGGAGGCATGGTGTCTGTCAGAACTTGAGTGCCATCCTGTGTCCTGCATTGTGACCACCATCCTCCTCCATGATAAATAAGGGCATTTTGGGGTCCTATAAAGGTCACGATGATTCTATTAGGAAATTCCACATTATCAAAGTAACTAGCAAGAGCCAGACAAGATTGACTGTCATTAACATCCAAATATTTCTTAGGAATGTCCCTTTAGTACCAGATGTGGTAGCAGTGGAGTCTATGTTGGTCAGGAAAAATGTTCTTGGAAAGGTAGGCTCACAACTGTCCTCTGAAAGTCAAGAGAAAAATGACTTGGTATTAAGTGTTACAGGACAAACAGGGTGCTAAGGGATTTAAGTAGGATGGAGTAGAATTTTAGGGCTGAGCAGTTTGGCATTCCTAAGAAGTCCTGCTATTAAAACAGATTATTTTTAGAGTGGGAAGGAAAATGGCCTTATGGCTCAGTGTTTGCTCTTCATATGCACTGACATGGCAGGAGATGGAAATGGACAAATACTAAAAGTGCTTAGTCCTTTTGTGGTTTTCAGAACCTTAAATAAATACGAATGTGAAATTGACATTAAGGTAGTAGAACATTAGCTTTCTGTGGGACTTATTTGTGTTCCTGAAATAGTTTTCCAGGTTAATCAGTAACAGGCTAGGCAGGGCACACTTAACTTCTGCTTTCAAAAGACCCCTCAAGACCCAGGTAGGTGGCCCATGTTTATCAGGCCAGGTGACCCTGTTTTATGAAGCAGAAACTAAAATGAAACAACTAGAGAATATACCCAAGTGATGCAACAGGAAAAATCCCTGCTGGTTCTTTCCTGTTGCTTCCTTAAAGAGGAGAGGGAGGTGGTGGGGTGGACAGAGGGAGATACTTTTATTTTGGCATATGGGAGTGGGGAAATAATTGTTTTCTTAGTGCAAACTACAAAAATAAAGCTTGGGTTGGCCAGGATATGCAATATGTTCTGTTGATTCCCTCTTGCCAGGAAGGTACTGAAAGGGACAGGAAGTGTGGGTTTCAAAGTGGGGCTGGGTAAGAGAAGTTGGGAAACTGCTTTCTGTTCATCAGGCCCAGCTACCGGAGTTTGCACAGGGCAGCAGGGCTGTCTGGGCACAGGGCTCCTGTGTGGATTCGGGGTTGGACAGAGCACGGGGGCCTCTGTGCCTCTTAATGTGGACCCTGTTCGGCTGGATGTTTATACCCTACCCAAAGGCTAACTAAGGGCCCAAGACGCTTGTTCAAATCAAAACTCTGTTGGTCAGTAGCTCTGTGATCTTTGGCAAATATTTAACCTTAAGTGGCTCAATTTCTTAGTCCACAAATGGGAACTTTAGCAGTATCTATCTTATAGGGTTGCTGTGAATCAAGTGAGTTAATACTCCTACTGTGCTTAGAAGCTGGCTAACACTATTAAGCTCTTAATACTCATTAGCCATTGTTATTATCTCTATGGTGGAGTGTGGGGATACTCCGTCCCTGCCAGCTGGTGGTGTTTTCATGGGTTGGCAGGTCTAGACCTAAATCAGGTGGTTACTCACACAGAAGGTCCCTACTCACCAGCGGGCTGTGTTCCCAAAGGTGACTGAGCTTGCAGAGTGTGTGACTCAGGCCTT